TACTCAACTGTAGGAGCTCCAAGGTACACAAGCAAACTAAACTGGACCCTTTTCCCTGAAGTGCCCCCTAGTGGCACAAATGCATATTTTTCTTGTTTGAGAACTGCATTGGGAAGTACAGTAGTGTTACTTGAATTGTATTCCAGGGTTTGCTTGTCTTCAGCTGAGAGAACTTGCAATAATTTAAGAAAACTTTGGAAAAAACCCGAGGGGGAAAACGATTCCCCCTCCAATTTTTCCAGTATTTTCCAGGGCTTTCCCATCTCTAGCTGTGACACAAAAAAACAGTTCTAAGGGATGGCTATTTCTTCCACAAGGCATTAGAGAAGAGGGATAGACACAGCAAAAGAGTGTCCTCATGCCAACTCAGTGGAGGATGTTCAGAAGACTTCACGAAGAAACTGAAGGCAGTTGAGTGATCCAGCTGAACTAATCAGATTGCACTCTTTCTATCCAAGTCTTAACACAATTCATTCACATCGCTGATCCACAGACTAGTCTCAGTTCCAGAGGTATCTGAAACCTTTTTTCACCTGAATCTGAAATTTAACTTTGGGTAATGGGAAGAGGGCGTGTATTTGCTCTCCCACTCAGCTACTAATTCGATTTAAAGAGATCCTCATGAAACAAAGATGCAGTCTTTTTTGGTGTGAAATGAAGTGATTAAATGTGTATATTCACAACTCACAAAAAGGCACAAAAAAACAGTTGGAGCCACCCATCTTTTTATTTTCTAAGAATGTTTATGTGGCCCTAAAGCAGGAATGCCAAACTTGCATCATCATGGCAGTGTCACGTGACCTATCGGGACTTTTCCCCCCTTCGCTAAACCGGGCAGGGGCGGGGCCAGCATGTAACGCATCCAGCCCACAGGCCACAAGTTTGACATCCCTGCCCTAAAGCATTAATGGAAATATGTATTCCATTAATATATTCATACTGGGAAAACAGGTATATTGCTATATATTGTAATTACCCATTAATTTCTCATTTTTTTTTAATTAAAAGAGGCTTTAAAAATGAAAATATGGAAGGAATGTATCAGCACCCAGAGATGATGAGTTGGTGGTGTCAGGCACTAACCCTATGGCACTATCACACAATAATAGGTCAGTGTTAAACATAGCAATTAGCATGTTGTGTAGATAAGGTAAATTTGGTTGTTTTTACCCACCCTTGTTTAAGTTTTTGTTATGGCATAGGGTGTTGCTTAACCCTTATCCATTTTGTTGGATTGTAATTCAGTGTTTTATATGCAAACCTAGGAAATGAGTTTGTGGAAACTCAGCCAGTATCATTTGTTTAATTTTTTGGCTTAACATGGTCTGTGAATTCAATCTTGTGGTTTGTAAACTATGGTTTACAGCTGAGCATATCTGAAGTCAGTTTTTTTAAGGAAACCATGGTTGGGCCATCTGTGGCTTAGTACAGTAAGTGAGCCTATATTAGAAATGTCCAAAGAAAAACACAAGGTGCTCTTCCAACCATTCTGACTTCAAAGGCGAAACACTATACAGAGATATACATTCATAGTTAGTCCACTTCCCCTGCAAGAACTCAGCAAATAAATATATGGCGTGGGGCCAGATTACCTGCTGTACTGAGACTGCTCCATTATACCAGTTCTGGTACCAGTACTGGTCAGGTAGGAAGAGTACAGGGAATCCTCAACTTACAACCACAATTGAGCCCAAAGCTTCTGTTGCTAAGCAAGATAGTTGTTAAATGTGTTTAACCCCCAGTCTATTGTTCTTTTGAAATGTCTAAAAACCTGGCTCTGCCGACTCACTTTGGGGCTCACATAGGATTTCACAGCCATGGGGCTAGTTAGTGCCTTGAAGTGCAACCGTGCAAATTTTCCTGCTATTCCAAGCCTCATGTAATGAACAATCAAGGGCAGGTATGCCTCCTTACTATAGTGTAAAATGCAACGTTAATCTCTCTTCAATTAAGGAATCAGTGAAATCATTTCTTTTAGTCGTTCACCAGCTAAGTCCAGGAATAATTGCAACGTGTAAATCATTGTTGCAGTATCAATGGCCTCCCCTTGGCGCTGGATGCATGTGTGCCAGAACAAAGGCAAGGATGCTTCTCTTCTTAGGAAGAGGGAGATCAATCAAACAATGTTCTGCCTTACTGATGTGGAGCAATCTAAGAAAATTAATAGCAGTCGCAACACAGCAGGGGCGGCTGGATTGCCCCCGTTCTTTTGTTTGCACTTGGGGATTGGTGTAAATAATGTACCCATCTGAATGATAAATGTGGAAGCCCCAGATTGTCAGCTTTGTTGTTGATCAAGTGGCTTTGAATGTAACAGTGAAAAGGGGAAAGAGGGGCTGCGATAGCCTACAGACTGTGTCACTTGCAACTATACCCATATATTTATTAGCTCCAAGGTGTTGTAAAAAAGCTCCTTTTCAATTGGACAAAAGGTTTATTTACTTTGTCACCAGCATAAAAAATTAATTAATATATAATTTGTCCCAAGCCAAGGAGAAGAACAAAAGCATGATGGCAAAGCATTCTTTCTGAAAGAGGTGGGAATAACCATAGATTATTGATCACAAATTAGTGAAACCAAGTTAACAAAGAACAATGTGACAGAGTGCAAAGGCTGCACACCAAACTCCAGCATTTACACTTTCAGATCTGAGATACCAGGGTTATATCTTGCCTCACCTGCCACATGGGGTGGCAATCCTTTGGGCAGCATATGCTATTGTAAAATTGATACCTATTCATGTTTGTATATATAATCCTGAAGATCTTGCAACATTCAAGTCTTATTCAATTTCCTGCTGTTGTGAAATTAACGTTTAATGAAATAATTATACTTTTGATTAACACTTGGGAGTCCTTTGGGTAACAAGGCATCTATGGAGATTGTATTGTTGACTCCTGCTGCATAATACTGGAATAAATGATATATTCAAGCTTTCAGGGTCAGGATGGCTAGATTTATTTATACATACAAAATAACAAATATAGTTCATAGCAAAAACAACCCAAATGGATCCCTCTTTGCCATTGTTTAGAAGAACTGTGAAGAGCTGGCTTTTCACCCAGGCCTTTGGCAAGCAAGAACGAGACTTCATTGTACTTATTATCATTTATGTTTAATGTCTAATTAATTTTATTTGCTTCAACGTTGTGAGCTGCCCAGAGTTGTTGGGAGTTGGGCAGCATGTACATTCAGTTAAAGTTGGTCACCCTTTATGTGTGTTGACACTGGATTCGGCATTTTTATCCATCTATTGAGTCCTTCCCAAAGTAACCCTAATCCTAGACCTAGGTCTTCCCAAGGATGTGGGATAGGCAAATGTTGCTTGATGATACTCAATATATTGTGGCAGGATATATAAGCTGTTCCAAGTAAAACTGCCTTTTATAGTTGACTGACAGGGCTTTTGCCAATGCTGATAGTGTTCAAGTGGTGTGCCAGTTGTTTCTGGGTTGCATACACCATGGATACTATCTTTGCTTTCTTTTGCCACAGTTGTTGTTCTAGTTGTAGGTCTTTGTATTTTGTGATTTTCTCTCGTTTTCTTCTCTTCTGTTGTCTCTAGGTATTGCAATGTCCACTAACCAGACTTTTGTCTTTTTTTAATCAACAATTGTTATGTCTAGGGTGTTGTCTGTTTGAATTCTAAACTCCCAGAACACTTTTGTTTTTTTCATTTTCTATTACTTTGTCTATTGCATGATCCCACTTCTTGCCTGCAGTATTTCTTGCAGATATTCCAGTGCGCTATTGTCATGAGTTGTGTGTAGTCAGTCTATGCAATCTTCTTGCAACAGCTAACTAGGTGGTTCACTGTTTACTCCGCTTCTTTGTATTATAGGGCTTACTTTGCAGCCTGCGTAGTGAGGGAGGTTTCTTTCTTACTCTCTCTGCCCTTTATGCAGCTGTGTGGTTTATCTCCCCTGATCTGAATGTTCCCCAGACAGCATGTCCTTCCCGTGTCTCCTAAAGCCATTTTCACATACCATTAAAATGTTTTGTGAGATGGGCAACTATATAAATGGAAAAACAAACAAATAAATAAATGGTGAGTTGCTTGGAAGCATCCAATGAAATAGAGCAATTGGTTTCCACTACTGTAACAACAAAATATATCAGGACTATTTGTGGATGAAAGAAGAAAGCAATGAGTCTTTCCACTTTCAGCAGTTTATTGTGAACCAAATAAAGGTGGGTGTACACAGGCATTTATCTATGTACTTATTTATAATGCTACCCACCCACCCCCGACATCTAATATGGCAAAGGCCCTGGAACCAAAAATATCATCACTCCTGGAATAAGCTGATCAGACAAGTTTATTTGTTTATAGATAATCTTCACTTAATGATCCGAATTAGGACTGGCAACTTTGTTGCCAAGTGATGCAGTTGTTAAAATGTTGGTGTAATTGCTCTAATTAGCGACTTCTAGGCAATCTCAGTTGCTGTCATTGAGTACATTTCGTGCAGTTGTTAGGTGAGGACTTACCCAGATCCAAATCATTTTTGGAAGAAAGTAATCCCCCATCCACCTATCTCCCATCTCTTGGAGAGGGAGCTGTGGTGCCGCAGTGGTTAGAATGCAGTATTGCAGGCTAACTCTTCCCATAGCCAAGAGTTCAATCCTGACTGGCACAAGCCTTCCATCTTTCTGAGGTTGGTAAAATGAGGACCTAGATTGTTGAGGGCAATATGTTGACATTTATAAACCATTCAAGAGTGCTGTGAAGCACTATGGAGCAGTATATAAGCCTAAGGGCTATTGCTATCTTTCCAATTCTTGCCTTTTTGGTACCCACCTACCCATCACCAGCTTCCTTCACAACCCACCCACTGCATCACATGGCATTATTGCCCAAGGCCTTCTTTTGTGCTGCCTTCTTTTGCAACAACGCACTTCTTTTCATGCTGCTGGGTCCTCCTTTCATGAAAGGAGCCCCCTGGCTGACACACAAAAGAACCCAGCTAGTTGTGGTGGTATGTAGCATGGCACACACCTGCCCATAGCTTAACTTGCCCGTCTGCAGGATGTTTCCACATCATCTCCCCTATGCATGGCCAGGATGGTGAGTCCAGTGGAGGAGAGGCAGATAAAGATGACAAAGGTCAGCTGGAAATGAGACAGCAGTGGTGGTGATTGGCAGTTGTAAAGGCAGGGAGGCCTGAATTTTGTTCACATGATTGTGGAGGTGCTGAGTGATCAGAACTTTAAAGACTAATTGCAAGTCCCTGCATTCAATGCCATAATAACGTTAGTCACTGAACAAATGGACATTAAGGACTACCTATAATTAAAGAACTTTTGTAGCTGCCTATCTCACATAGTAATCTCCTAGGCAGCTCACAGTGATCAATAAAGACATCAATAAAAAACCACATTATTCCATCAAGATGCCAGAACCACCCATACCATAACCTCTTAAGTCAACCTCATCCTAACCCAATGCTTTGGAAGAACCAGGTCTTCATGGCCTTCTAGAAGTTCTTGGGCTTCTGGAGCTGGAATTCTTTCAAAGAATGCTGGACTAATTGGACCAAGATTTTACTTGTTAATACTTGCAATGTGAATTTTAAAAAAGGAGAAATAGATATGGTGATCCTAACTTTAGACCTCCTGAGGGGAAAAGAAGTGGTATTCCCAGTATTCTTTGAATTTCACAGTTCAAGAGAGCAAAGAAAACAGAACAGAGAAATATAAATTGCTGCAATTACTTCTTATAAACCTGATTAATAAATACTATTCCATCAACATATTAATGATGGGCCTATTGAGGAAGATTACCAGTGCTTTTCAACATTGTTGGACCTGAAAAGGGTGCCAAGCTGACTGCTCTGAATTCAAATGCATTTTGGCTATGGTGACAGGATAACTCCTTGTCTATGTGCCAGGACCCTCTCATTCTTTGGCTCAAATGAGCACTTTTGTCCAAAACCTATATAAAGACTGAACTCTGTAATGTCACAGAAGTCCATGACACTAAGTATGTGGATGTGAGCAAATTCCCTCTTTGAAGTGTTAAAGCAGTAGAGTTCTCTTGAAGACTTGACATAAATGCTTTTAAAGAGCCTTTTCAGGCTGTCTGCTGTGGGCTAATTATTTTACTGGCATTACAAGCAAAGCAGCTTTGTGTGCACATACACGAGATATTCAGGGAAAAGCTTTCATAATAGCAGTGCTGAATCTTTTAGAACAGTGTTTCTCAAACTTGGTAGCTTTAAGATGTATGGACTTCAAATCCCAGAATTCTGAGTTTAAGAAACATTTTGTTAATTATTGTGAAGTGCTCCTTTCAAAGCAACTTACATAGCTGTATAAATATACAAAATGCTGGAAAATTCCCCCCACTTCAGGCAGTGAAGACTTATAAAAATTGCTGCAATCTGCCATACAGCTATATCTGATATTCAATTACTTAGGCAACTGAACTCAATCCATTTTCCCTCATGGAAATCCTTTATTCTTGAATACCTGAAGCACAAAAATGATTGAATGAGGGGAAAGCCAAGAAGACATTTTACAGCCTTGACTTTACCTTACATAGTTTGACTATTTCACCAGAACTTTTTAAAGCCCATCCAATGTTTTCCAACAGTTCAGCAATGGCTTAATTCCCAGATACATTATTTAAGATCAATTGAGATTGGACAAGGAAAACCATAGCTAGCATCTCCATTTTTATATGACCACATGAGGGAAAGCTTATCTCTATGCACTATTTAACAGCTAAGTAAATATGTGCAGACAGGAGTGCTTGTTATCTTCTCCATTGTGCATTGTTTCAGCTAATTCCTAGCCTGTATTTGCTGATTTCATCATGTTCAGCTGGGATACAGTGACATTTTTGAGAAGTGCCAGCTCATGCTGCTATGTTTCACTGCTAAAACAATTCAAAAGGATCAAGGAGAAGGATCAGGAAAGTTGCTTTCAATGAATGATAAAGATTCTGACCTTTTGTCTAATAAATAGGGGAGGATTTTAATCAGCATCAGTGAAGCTGGGCACTCCCTAAGTTGCAGCTATGCCTTATCCCTGGATGTATTGATTGTGGGGGAAGGGTTGACTTCAGAGCATCTGATTCAGTTTGATTGATATACTGTGGGTAGGTGAGTAAACTGATCAAAGTGTTAATTAACTGGTTGTTGGATGTATGGGTTCAAATTTATTAGTGTTTATATATTAATCTTTATACCAATGACAAAAGTTCTTTACTTTCAGTTTTAAGAACTGTATTTCAGGAATTCTTTAATTATAGCTGAAAACATATTTGAAGGAGGAACTAGGTATTCCAAATTTTCCTTTCAAAAATGTGTTTCTTAAACAAGTGCACATTAAGCAATATTGCTTCTACTTCAATTTTTTTTATTGGCACCTCAATTACTTTTCTTTTACTTGAAAGGAATAAATTTAAAGAATATCACTAAGAAAAATGTTTGATTTCATCACAGCATAGAACCCTTTCCACTTTATCATCACAAGAAATGATATATTTAAGAGATACATATATGCCAGCTGAAACATTCGAAACTTATCACACTTGGAATATTATGAGTAGCTCTGCTTCTGAGAAATAGTAAGGTAGAGCTAGAGAAAAACTAACACAATGGTAGGGAAATTGGAAGCAACACAACAGTTTGAGGGGCAAAATACAAATCGCAATAAGAGAAGGTAACCACGGTATGTAACATTGGGTATAGCACAAATGATGTATAGATAAATGTTTCTCTCTGTCACACACATTAGCAGAAGGCAGACCTGCTATGATTAGTGGGAAATTCAAGGCAAATAGTGACTGGGTTCACACTTTATGTTATGCCACATTTTCACTATGATTTATTGAATACCATAATGTTTGTTAGGTTTGCATAACATGCTCAGCCTTAAAATCAAGATTTACAAGTCGTAATGGCTAGGTTTGCATGACACATTTTTCTACATACTGCATTTTCAGAATTGGTTAGAACAAGGTGTGGTGAGGGCCCCAATTCAGGAGGGTCTAAAAAGGAAGCAGACAAATTAATGGAGAGTAAGACAATCAGTAGCTGCTAGTTATGATGTCTTTTTTTTCCAGGCTTCCCAGTGATTGTCCCATCTGTGACACCTGATGCAGGAACAGGAAAACCTGTAATCTGACCCAACCGGGTTCTTGTGCTATCTGTCACACTGCAGTTTTTATATAGTAGCATGGAAGATTTTACAGGTCTTCTTTAGGGAATTCCAAGTCAAGAACATAACAGTACAGTTTGAGTAGTAAGCATCCCTTTATTTGCTGACACCATTACAAAAACTGATTACATTAGCAACCCAAGAAAGAGAGAGTAGGGAGGAGGAGTGTTTACTTCAGGTAGAAGTTACAAGGCTGCTACTCCCAAACTGTATCTAAGTAAAACAGCACAGGCTGTCAATATTAAAATGTTATTGTTGCTGCGGCTGCTACCACTATGTCAAGGGTGCGTGCGTGTCTGTGTGTGTGAACGAGTTTTACTGAGCATAGTAAAGATAAAAGGTTACACATTTACTGTAGCTCCAGGAATGTAAAGCTCTAATTATCCAAACCGATTTATTTAAATTTATTTATTATAAAACTAAACTCTGGAGGTGTCTGCAGAGTCGTCTTCTTCATCATCTTGTTTAAATCAGTAGTCTAACAAAGAGTAGAAAAGACAAAACTCTGTTCAGTGTTTGACGAAGTAGAAAGGGTGAACATATAAATAAGGCTTTAATTTGGCAAAATATAAAATACATTGCCTTCTGCTACCCCCAAATTAAACGATCTCCCCATGATTTCATTCTGCAAAAGAGAAGCAAAACAAAACAAAAACAAAAAACAAAACAAAAAGATAAGCTTAAGGATAAGGTAGTCACTATGGCAAACTATTTTTATTTTTAAAAGTAACAGAAAAATATGTCATATTTTGCGGGATCCGGTTATGTTATTTAAAAAAAAACCTCCTGATTCTTAGTATTATAACAGATTTTTTTAGGGAGGAAAAAAAGTCAATATTCAGCATGTATAGTTTTCTTAAAGCTAAAAAAAGTGCTGAGTAAGCCCATTCAGAATTTACTAAATAGAATGAATGAAAATTAACTTTGTAAAGAGGACAGACAATTGAGCATCCAAATTCCGTATCTGTCCACTGTTTACATTTGTAAACAAGATTTTTGTTATCCCAGAATGAAAATAATCATTAAAATCACAGCTGTGAAAAAATTATATTTGCCCTGTATAAGAACAATAAAAGCAGCTGCGAAGGATAAATACAAATCCATGGGAATGCTACTGGGAATTTTGAAAATGACAATTTCAATATTTCTGTAGGCTGCTGGTTGGGAAAAGGCTGGTCTGCAATGACTCTTACTAACGTGTTATTTTATAAGTAGAAATAATCCACAATGGTATTTCAACCACAATGCGAAGCTGCAGGCTTCTATGATTTTATTACTGCTTTCTAGAGATCCTGAAAACTTCACCAGTTACTTTTGACTTCCTGCTTTAAGTCCATCTTAGGAAAACAGACTCAAATTCTCCTACCTAATAGCTGATACTGTTCTTTTCCCTTTGTGAGCATTTGGCCAACTGATGCAAGAAGCTGCTTGAGGTGGACAATATCTTGAATTAGATTCACATTATCTGGACCAGCCTGAAAAAGATGAAAGAAAGGAGAAAGTATTAGAAACTTTGGAATAGAGGAAGCCAATTGAAGTGGACAATTAATTTTAGGATATGAGCTTGATACTTAGTTGAAACCTCAATCTGCCCCACCCCTTAGATAGGGTCTCTTCATTCCTAAGAATCTTCATTCAACCTTCATTCAGCTGTTCTACACAAGTTTCACATCATGGTCAAAAGAATCCCTTTTCTCCAGGACAAGCAATGGGAGCATTTGCTCAGATTTCTTGGTCTTGAAACATTTTGGATAGTCACTTCAGAAACTCTTTAAACTCCTCCCACCCACCGTGGCCAGATTTTTTATCGAAAAAAAAATCTCCAATTAGAAAACAATGTCATGGAGAACTATAACAGATCCGATCTCTTTGATGTACTACCTTTTCATGTGAATGTTTATTTATTTATTTTTCATTGCATAAGGCTTCACACGTAGTGGTGTCCTAAATCAGAACAACCCAGATACATACAATAAGAACTAGATGATGATGATGATGATGATGATGATGACGACAACAGAGCAAAAAACTTTCCAGCTATCTCTAAGGTTTCCAAAATGTGTTTATAGTACTTGCCAGGACATTATTAGTCTGCCATCTGGTGGCAGGATATAATAGTCTTTAGCAGTGTTTTTTAAACTTGGCAATTTTTAAGATGTGAATTCCACACATAGTATGTTGGCTGGGGAATTCTGGGAGCTGAAGCCCACACATCTTAAAATTGCCAAGTTTGAAAAACACTGGTC